CAGTCGCAGGAGGATCCCCACGAGCAATGCCCGGATCGATAAAAGAAATATCCCTTTTATTTTGGTTAATTAAGCTGAAATTATAATATTAATTAAAAATAAATTATTTTCAGTTATTTATATTCCTTGGCCAGGGAGGACGTCCGATCAATCCACGCTCTCTCGCCTCTCAGATCTTGGAGCTCGTGATTGTGATCCCAGGGGATTTCTCGCTCTCGGGTTGAAATCTTTCGTAAATTTGCTTCAGCTCCCGGGCTCAATCGGGGGCTGTGCATATCTTGCAGCTCGAATCGGTCGCATTCTGAAGAGGAAGCAAAGGAGAGGTGTTCTAACGCTCTGGGGCTTGAGGTTCCAAGTCCAGGTTTACTCGTCAGGGAGGCTGCTTGGCTCCTCACCTTTTGTTTACGTTGCTGCTGGCCGGAACGAGGAACGTGGAAAATGGGAGGTACGTTCTTTGGCAAATCAGGCGTGCAGCCCAACGGGACAAGCTTCGTTGAAAATCTCCAACCGTGGGGCCGAAGGACAAGCTCAAAGCAGCCACACCAACTACAAAGTTGAGGAGCTGAGCGATCCTCCTTGGAGGATTCCAGGCGTTCGAGCTTTGCTACCGTCGACGGTAGGATCCACTGGAGGGACACAGACTGTCACTAGAAGTTCGAGTGGTTTCTCTTCAATTTGGTTTTGGCTCTTTCTCTTGACAATTGTGTGGATTGGGATTGCAGGCCGGAGAGCAGCTACTGCATCTGCGGTCCTACAGTGAAGAACGCTCCACCTTTCCAGTACTCGTCCAAAACGGTTTGTGGACTACGCATCACTCAGGCACTGTACATAAGAAAAGGTTTGAGGATTTGTCTCGATCGACGGGGGTAATGGCAGCCTCCATTACCAGCTTGGCTGCGGCTAGTCAGCTGTTAATATCGAGCAGTACGATCAATGTATGGATTGTAGTTTAAACATATTAATAATATTCAACTGATTTCATTTCCCAACATATTTCTTTGCTCACGCTTAATTCCAACTGGGGTTCACATTCCAGGTTTGAGATCCATGGCCGTGCCGTGAAGCATATACGAGTGAATGTCCGGAGAAGCATTTGCTTGCAAAGTACGAGAGCTCATCGCTTCTTCTCCACCAGATGAAACGCTACCGGCCTGGAGACAACAAAAATAAGCCATCCAGCTTTCACTACGAGCGCCGATATCGCCAAGTGGCCATCTGCCACCAAGCATTTTTCGGATGCAACCATGGTAAAGTGCAAAACGCTCCTCATCCTTCTCCAAGACACTTGAAGCAATTCTTCCTTCCTTCCCTGTCAACCAATAAAATCCGTCGTCTTCTGTACACAAAACCCCGGATATCTACAATTCTCTAGCTCTGCGTCATCCTCTAGCTCCAGAGAGCTCCCATCCCTGAATGGATTTTCACGCACTGGAACGACACCATGTCATGGTATCGATCTCGTAGTGGTGGTAGCCAAAATTCCCTCCACAAGTCCATCCACTGGATCCACTACTCGGGGATTCTCCCGCCACCCAGCTTCCCGAACCGGAATTATAGTAGATTTCTTGCTCCTTGATGTGAAGGAAAAAAGGGTGAATTTTAGTTTCAATTAAGCTTAAATTATGGCTAAATTGCTGAATATTTTAGAATATTTTACCATCTAATGGTTATTATTTATTTAGATTAATTTTATATTTATAATTTTTTAAAATTCTATCATCTAATGGCTGATATGCAATAAGATAAATTACAAACATGCTTATAATTATAAATTTTAGTTGATCAATTGGATTAATAAGTGCAACTTTATTTTTATTTTCGGCATTACGTGGCGTTACGCTCGAGAGACAGGCACCCGTCAAACTAGCAGTGACGGCCCCTCACTAACGCATTGCAATTTTTTGCCATTTCTAAGTAGCTAGGTTTCCTGGCCTGGACGCAGCAGCAGGAATAAAAGAGGACGCTTTGTCCGATCGGTCCATCGCGCATCGCCTCTGCTATCTCGCCTCTCAGATCTTGCCGCGCTGCGCAGCGCCTGGAGCTCGTCATTGTGATCGCGGGTAGGAGCAGGGGATTTCTCGCTCTCGGGGTAAAATCTCTCGAAATCTTGCATCAGCTCGCGGGCTCAGTCGGTGGCCCTGTGTATCTTGCAGCTCGGATCGGTCGCATTGCCTCGCACCATGACGAATTTCTGACAGTAACAAAGAGGAAGCAAAGAACAAGGCATCGAGAGGTATGGCGACACACGAGCATTGCTGCGGTCCTACTTTCTGGGGATACATCGCCATCATCGTTGCTATTGTCGCGTTTGCCGGTTTGATGTCCGGCCTCACTCTGGGTCTCATGTCTCTGGAGCTTGTGGATTTGGAGGTGTTGATCAAGTCGGGCAAGGAGAAGGATCAAAAGCACGCAGGTACTTGTCTCTGGGATTTCTTCTCTCCCTTGCTTACTCCGCTCCTCTTTACAGGGAAGATCTATCCTGTCGTCAGACGGCAACACCTTCTTCTCTGTACTCTTTTGATTTGTAATGCTCTTGCGATGGAGGTCAGTTTTTTTCCTTTTTCCCCATTCATCGTTTCTTACACAATTTGTACTTCTTTTTCAACTTCGTTTGGTGTCGCCTTTTAGGCTCTTCCAATCTTTCTAGACTCGTTGGTTCCGGCTTGGGCTGCCATTTTGATATCTGTGACACTGATTCTTTTATTTGGAGAGGTACGATCCATCTAGTTGCTGTAGCGAGGTTTTGATTGTGTCATGTGTGTGCCACATACAGATTTTTCCTCAGGCAGTGTGCTCAAGGTATGGATTAGCTGTTGGAGCGACCATGGCTCCTTTCGTTCGTTTGCTCTTGGTCTTGTGTTTTCCGGTTGCGTATCCCATTAGTAAGGTACGTGGCTCTTTTTTGTTTTCCTTGGTGTCCGTTTGTTTTCTAGTGAATTCAGTCTGAAAGCACTGCAGCTTCTCGATGCCACACTTGGCAAGAACCATTCGGCACTGTTCCGGAGGGCGGAACTGAAAACACTTGTTGGCTTCCACGACAAGGAGGTGAGATTTTGTGATACATGATACTCTTAAGTTGAAATTTTTGGTGTATAGGCCGGAAAAGGAGGTGAATTAACTCACGATGAGACGACTATAATCACTGGCGCTCTGGAGCTGACCGAGAAAACTGCAAAGGTTGCGATGACACCTCTCTCCTCTACATTTTCAATTGATGTGAACGCAAAGCTTAACCAGTATGCATCTTACATGTCGAACGTCTTGTAGTTGCTGATGGCTCTTGTTTGAAAACTTTGCCAGGGAAACCATGACTGCGATTTTGACAAAAGGCCACAGTCGTGTACCTGTGTATTCTGGTAAACCAACAAATGTAATCGGCTTGGTCCTGGTATGTGCAAGCTCTTTGTCCAAGTGTCGTTTTCTGATGTAACAGCATGTGTTTCAGGTAAAAAATTTGTTGAGTATACGACCTGAAGATGAGACGCCAGTTCGAAACGTGACGATACGCAAGATTCCTAGGTAATTTCTTCACTATCCAGGTCCCGTTTTTCTAACATGGATAATGTCGTAGGGTGCCAGAGTCCTTGCCATTGTATGATATACTGAATGAGTTTCAAAAGGGACACAGTCATATGGCCGTGGTCATTAAAGATGGCGCCGAAAGTTTCAAGAAGGGGTTAGACCGTAGGCTAAGCTCGAAGAGGCTTGTGAAGAATGCCAATGGTAACGATGCTGGTTGCCTTTGAAACCAACGTAATTTTTCATAGTTTCCTTGCAGGCTTACTAACGACGCAGGCCTCGCAAAAGTTCAACGTTGCGGTGGACATAGACGGCGATCCCGGAAGCGAGCCAGTGCTTGTAAGGAAGCTCACCAAAGGCGAGTCGGTCGACCAGCGAAGACAAAACTGGCAGAGAGCCCGAACGGACGACATACTGGACGTTGGTCCCGCGCTGTCAAAGCTCTCTGCCGACGACGAGGCCGTGGGGATCATCACAATGGAGGACGTCATTGAAGAGCTCTTACAGGTAACACTTTTGAGTGCTGCAAAGATGATTAAAAGAAAAGAAGAAGAGGGGAGAGCATTCGTCAAAGTTGAGCTGTAGCTAATGCGTGCTGTCTTTTTGTTCCAGGAAGAGATATGGGACGAAACAGACGAATACGTTGACATCCACAACAAGTAAAGCTCTCCTCCATTAGCTAGTCTCCTCCTCTAGTCGAATTTCTTAATCGTTTTCCCGTGGTTTGTCTGTGCAATGGTGGTCAGGATCAAAGTTAACATGCTACCACCCGAGGACAAGTCCCCATCCCCATCGGCACTCTCCTCAGCCTTTCCAACAGCAGCAGCCTCGCCTTTATCATCGCTCCAGCCAACGCCGAGCTTCACGTCCCCAGTCCCATCTCTCCAGCACACTCCAGCCCCCGACTCTCCCCAGAGTCCACACCTGTACGCTCCGGGGCCTACGCCCACCAAGCTCGCCTCCCCATGCACGCCACGCGAGGCCTCATCGCCAGCCTCCTCCTTTGCAAACTTACCGCCGCATGGCTCCCCTGGGAGAATGACACCACTGCCAAGATCACCCGCCTCTAGGAATCGACACAACCACCAGCAGCAGCAGCAGGAGCTCAAAAGCGATGAAACTAGTCCACAGCGATCCACAGTTAAGTGTGCTGGATTCTCTCTTTTGGCTCTTTCTCATCCATTTTTTCTTCGCAGGGGTCCCCACTCTCTTACGTGAAACTCGATAAGAATCCGGGGACCGATTAACTAAGTTATCAACACAGGAGAGAGGAAGGAAAACAGCACTATCCTAGAGGTACCTTTCCCGAAAGCGGCCCAAAAGCTTGTTTGTTGTCCATTATCCTTTCGCGTTGTTGTAAACTAGTATATAGTCGCCTTCGCCTGGAAACATCCAGAAGAAAGAGGAAGATATATATATATATCTTGTATCGGGTCAAGAGAAAAGAGAGAAAAAAAAAAGACCAGACAAAAGAAATGATATTTCAAATATAAAGCGAGAGCTTTATTTACTTTTAGCAACCGCGATACTTACAATTTAATAGAATACAACAAAAACTCGTTAGCCAGGATACAACAAGAAAAAAAAATGAAAGAAAAGAAAACCATAGGATCGATAATATCAATCCTTCTTGCCATGCTTACTTCCCTTCTTGCAGTTGGAGATTTTGTAGTAAACCGACATGAAAGCCGACTCCGCTCCATATCTGCAAGGAACAGAAGAGAAAGAAACGATTTTAGCCCGTATGAGAAGACAAGAACGAAGATATATGGAAGAGAACGAACTTGTTGCGGACCGCGTTGTACAGCGACGGATCAAACATCTGCCAAAACTCCCCCTCCGACTGCTCAACCTCCGCATAGAGGCACTGATACGACCGGTTGTCTCGTAGCCACTTCTCCATGTTCTTGGTGGCCTGGACGCCATCCCACACCTCGCATCTCAGCACGGGCCCGGGCACGCCCCAGATGCCAACATCCGTCCACATCTGCGCGTAGTCCGTATCCCCTGGTTGTTTGTTGCTGCTGAATCCAGGCTCGCAGTCGAGCATGGTGCCCATCTCCGTCTTAAACAGCCGGTGGGGACAAAGCCATAGCGGATAAGTCTGCAGCCAAAGCCAGCCAAGAAACCAGACCGGTGAGAAGAAAAAGACCAGACTAAATGGACATGACCGGTGAGAAGAAAAAGACCAGACTAAATGGACATGACCAGCCAACAAACTCAAGCTCGAGAAAAGAATCCAATCTGACACGCACCTCAAAGTTCTCGTGACAAAACTCCAGGCAGGCAGCGAGCTTGTGATTCGGTACTAGCATGTCCTGGCAGGCATGACGCTGGATGTAATATTTTCGAATCCCGTCCGTTTGCGTCAGCTTTAGCAGGCTCACCTGTGAAGCAGTAAACAACAGAGAAAGAAAAAGGAGCTGATAACGCTGACGAAGAAAAACGATAGGAGGAAGGAAAAACTCGTCCAGTACCTTTGGAGGCATGAGCCAGCCGAGTAAGAGCCTGAAGAGCGGGTGATTCCCCATGGGAACAATGAGACCGCCCTCCCAATACAAGGAGCGAGTGTGCCGGTGGTAGTACGAGCGCACAGGCACATACTCCACAAACGTACCCCGCTCCAGAGCGCTCTGCGCGTGGATATGGAACCACGGCTTCCACCACCACCCGAAATCGTTGATCACATTCCCCTTCCTCGCCGCTTCTTCCCTGGTGGCATATCTCCCAGTTGTAATCACTGCTGTGGATCCCGAGTATACGATCCCTTCCACAAAATCAGGAACCTGGACCATCGCCTTTTTACACTCGAAAAGAGGAAGAAAGAAAAAAGAACGTACCTTCTCGGGATTGTCTTGATCGAGATCCCGTGGACAGAACAAATCCTCGTACACCTCCGCGATCTTGGCGAGGCTACCAACAACCGGGGTGTAAGTCACCTTCATGAACTCCTTGACGGGAATGAGCCGGATCTCCACTCCAACCAGCAGCCCAATGGATCCATGCGACCATGGCACCGCTTTGTAGAGATCCGAGAACTCGTTGTCAGCGGTGGCGCGGACCACCCTCCCGTCCGCCAGGACCAGCTCGAAAGCGCTGCAAGTCTCGGCAAACAATCCATAGATGTGGCTGCTGCCCTCGATCCCATACCCGTTGATGACGCCGCCAATGGTGAGGTCGTCCAGCTCGGGGAGAACCTCCGGCGCCACGCCAAACGGGAGCGTGGCGGCGCTGAGCTGCGACATTGTCACCATGGGCTCGCACTTGATGAGCAGGCGGCGGCGATCGATCCACACCACGTTGCGCAGCTCGCCCAGATCCACCTCGTAGCGCGCGCCGCGCTTGTGCTCGGCGTTGCGCAGCGCCACTCCCAGCCACGGCCGCCGCGCCGTGCACACGAGCCCGTCGCGCTGGGGGTCGCGCTGCTTGACGCGCCGCCGGACGCGCTCCACGGCCGCTCGGTGCGATTCCTCCGACGGCAGGCCATGGAGCAGCGTCCAGATCGTGGGCAGCCACCGCACAAGCTGGTAGAAGAGGAAGGAGAGCGGCAGGATGACCGGAATCACGACGATCCACCGGAACTGGATGAGGAAATCCGCAATGGAGGGCGCCCGCTTCTCCCTGGCCCTCTTGTCCTCGCCCCGCCGCTGCTGATCCATGGCGCTCGGAAAGAATCGATCCAAGCCGCCAGGGATCGATCGCCCCCTCTAGAGCGTCCACCAAACCCTAGAGCGCAATGCGCTACAAAGAAGAGAAGCAAAGAAGAACAATGGTATTCAAACAAAATCCCTCGCCACCCTTCATGTCCAACGATAAGTATATTCCTTCACATTCAATCTTGGCCGTCGGATCATTCACCTCGACAAAAGCATAATCCTCAACCTAAGAGAATATTTTCTCAATCGCAGCTGTTGGATTATTCATTATTTCTCCCAAAATATATATATGTACAAATATAAATGTGAATCAACCATCAAACAAAAGCTATCTATCCTCGATCAGTTCCCCGCCGTCCGATCCCCGCCCAGCGAAAAGAAGGAAAGAATCTGTTTCTATAGCGTAGTTTTGCTCGGCCTCGAGAGGCTGCTCGAGATCCCCGCCGACTTAAACTTGGAGCTCAGGCCTTGCAAATCGACCAGGTCCTCAAACAGCTTGTCCGCCGGATTGGATGGCTTGGAAGTTCCACTCCCTGTTGTTCCTGGCGATGGACTCCCAGTCGCGCTCGAGCCCGCCGGAACGAGAGCCAGGTGATTGAAATTCATACCTGGCTGCTGCTGCTGCGAGTAGGCCATGCCGTTTTGGTAGTATGAGCTCGCTCCATACTGATAGTTATACTGGTCCGCGTAAGGATACTGCTGAGCGTAAGGACTGTAACCCGAGGATCCACCATAGTAGCCAGCACCAGCACCACCACCGGAGCCACCGGAGTTATACAATTGCATTTGCTGCTGGGACACCCAGGGAGCTGGAGTTGGCTGCGACGGAGCTTGCGAGCCTTGGACGCCACCATAGATGAGAGCTTGCTGCTGGGGGCTCAGCTGTTCTTTTGGGAGAGCCCAGGGGGCAACGTAACTCTGGGGACTGCTCGCGTCGTTGCTGCCCGGGTTGTAAGCACCGCTCGTCGCGGTGTAGCCACTGTTGGGGTTGGTCGAGTTGTAAGGACTGCTCGTCGCGTTGTAGCCACTGTTGGTCGTGCCGTAGGGACTGCTCGGATTGTTGTTGTAAGCTGGTGCTCCTCCCGCTGCCTGTTGATACTGGGGAAATGCAAATCCCTGCGAAGAACTTCCACCACCATTGGCAAACTGCTGCTGCTGCTGCATAGAGCTGTATTGAGGAGGACTCGAGTATGACCCCGAGCTCGGGGGCTGACTGGCGAAAGATGTCCCGTTTGGAATCTGTTGTGCTTGAGAAAAGGACGGTTGAGTCTGCGGCTGCTGTGTCGCGTGAAATGCCGGACCAAACGGATTTCCGGCCGAAAGATCGGGTTGCGATACGGGAGAGCCTGATTGTAAAACGGACGGAGGCGTAGCGGGAGTAGCAGGAGCTGCCGAAGAACTCCCCACCAGGTTTTCTCCACTGAGAAGGTCTATAAGGTCTGCTGCCTTTTGCGGGGTACTTGGCTCTTTCTTCGGTGTTGGCGGAGCGGGCAGCGCGAGTTGCACGAAAGGATCACTTGGCTCGGTCGGTTGAGCAGGCTTGGATGATCTGGACAAGCAAGGAGATTGAAGATATTCACATGAACTTTATGACTTACCTGCGAGATAACTGAGCAAAATCATCTTCAGGTTCTTGTTTAACTGGAGTTTTGTTTTGAGACGCCCCCACCACCGAAGACGGAAGTGGCTCCTTGGGTAAGGCCTTCCCTGCTGCAATAGCATCGTGCTTTTCCAAGACCTTTTGTAAATCGTCATTTAGTCCCAATCCTTGACGGAGTAATTCTTCGTCACTGAATACGCAATCAACGTAAGTTCCTGAAAATGAAGATAAGATTCTTACGATGTATTATTCACAAGATGCATGACCCGTTGCTGCGTCGAGCGGCACTGCTCCACCAGCTCCACTATGAGCTCATCCTTAATAGCCTAAAAGATTTTGCAAAAGAATAAATGTTAAAAGCTACATTCTATACAGTGCTTGCCTGCTTGTCACGGGGGTTGACAGCATTTAGCATCTCCAATAGAACCTCCACTCTTCCACGAGCGGTGTCAATATCAGTCAAGCTGCCAAAAATTGGTAAAGTTCCGAAACACTCAAAACATATCCAAGCGTCTACCTGAGACCAGGCATGTCGTTGTTCATCAGTGATTCGAGTCTTGCAGGCATATGAGCAGGCGAGCCATAGCCTGGTGACGGCTGAACAGGATGCGTTTGAGGCGGAGTAAAAATTGGTGCATCTCGTTCGGCAGGACGATCGGGAAATTCAACACCCATCCTCTGAAAAAGACATTCGAGTTCATATTACTTTTAGGAAGGCAAGAACTTACCCTCAGCTCTTCAAAAGCCATATAGTATTGTGGATATCTTCCCCGCGAGCCTCCGAATGCCTCTTGCCATGAGCTCAACAACACAAGAATTTTGTCCCTTACATGCATGTCCGTCTGTCCGAGATACTCCACACGTAAGTAAAAACGTTACAATCCCAGACAAGTAGCCGAGCACCTTTCTCTTGACGATCTTCACCATTTCGTGCAAAACATCCTTTTCAGCTACTTGTTGGTGGACTGCCACGCCACAGTTTTTCACAATGGTCTCCAGCACCTGCGAGAAAAGAAGAGTTCAAAAAGAAATCAAAGAATAGCTTTAAGCAAAGGAAGAGAAAAACGAAAACACTCACTGTTAATGCTAGAAGCTGGACTTTGGGGCTGCGATTTCCCAAACGCTTCTTGATCGCCTTGACAACGTCCTTGGCCTGCCTGGAAAAAGTTTTTTTCCAATTGAATCGTGTGAGCTCGAGCTGGTTTTTACTTCCTGGAGCAAACTTACCCAGGATCGTGGTTGAGGATATCACATATCTCCATGTTCATGGCCCAATCGGGTCCTATGAGCATGTCGCTCGTCGCCTTATCGACCAAAGACGCCATAGCTACAACCCCTAGTCCAATCGAAGCTCAAACTCTAGCTACCCAAAACGACATCACAAATTCTCACTCGGACTGGTCAACTGGCCCCTTCCAAAAGACAAAGAAGAGTCTCTCTCCCGGTTAATCGCGCTACAGTAGCTCCTGATTTCCACTCTCCTCTCTCCCCAGATGAGGGGAAAACACACGAGGAAGAAAAAACGCGTCTACCTATCGATCGACTCCAGCTCCAGCGGCGACGAGAATCCAGCGATTTCGCGGAGGAATTGAGCTGATCAGAGCTGCGCCATAGCCCCGCGGCCGCCCATCAAACCCTAAACCTGCGAGGCTCATTGGTTAATCCGCCCGGTTAACTTGCAGCCTTTTGACGTGGCAAAGTGCATTGAACTATCCAACGGCGGGTGCGTGTGCCACGTCATCAGCTGCTGCCCGGGGGATTCGAACCCAGCGCCTGCCCCAGGCGATGCCGAGAATATGCTCGCGTCTGAACCAGGTAGTTACTGGCACTACACTGGAAGACGAAGCGTTTGAACCAACGTTTGTATAATCCTGGCTAGTTAAATCAAGCTAAAAATCTCTCAACGATCATCGAATTCTCTTAAGCGTACGGAGAAAATTAGGGCTAGTACGAATATTCTCCTTTCGCTTAAGAAACTGACGTGGATTTGCTTGCGTCTGTTTCTTTGCTTTTCAAAATGGTTCCCATTCTAGGGTTTGATGCGCGGATGGGGCGTGGGAGCGTCCGGCAATCAATCGCCACCGGGAGTGGAAGCTGCGCCGCCTCGCCATGGTGCTGAGAAGCTGCGCGCCTAGCTGCTGCCACAGGTATGCCCTACACGTCGCCCGCCGGAGGAAGCACTCAATGGTAGCCTCGGCGTCGCTGCGAAGAGCTTCTCTCGCGCTGCCCATCCATTTGCCGCCGCTGCCGCCGCCGCCGCCGCCCTCTTGCTCCACACCGCCACCGCTCGTGGATGTAGGGGATTACTTGGAGTTTTGGGATCACGTCATGTCGGGTGCTCTTCGCAAATCCTTGAGGAAGGTACTCCGCAAGAAGAAGTTGACGACTCCTACGGCGCTGTGGTGTGCTCCTCCCGCCCTCTACGTTGATCGGGGCCCTTCCTCTTCGTCTCCTTCCTTCTCTCTAGCGGAGTTTAGCTTGCAAGCGGCCAGGAACAGCACAAGTAGGCAGCGACTGAATTGGAACCCATTGTCTCTCCGGTGTCGGCAGCTCAGTGTTCGTCACAACACGCAGCCAGCGCAGACGCCACCCACGTCTCCTTCGAATCCGTCTAGCTCACTGCTCCTCACGTCATCCGTGGCGCCACCCACAGTGCCCGCTTCCTCCAATGCGCGAAGAGCTTTCCTCGTCGATACTCTCGCGGTGGTACGTGAAACTTATGGGATTTCTTCTCTCGCTTTTCTAACTCTAGCTTCTCCCATTTTCTCCTAGATGCGAAGGCTCGAAGCTCAAGAGCTCAACCAGAGGCAAGCTGAGGCTATCACCGCCGTTGTGACTTCCGTGTTGAATGATAGCCTGGAGAGCGTAGCACACTCGTACACGTCCAAGACCGACATGCAAAAGGTGTGTATGGACTAGTTCTTGCTCGTATAGCTCTGACTTTGTTTGCGTGTCTCTGAAACACAGTGTGAGATGATGCATGACGCGTCGCTTTCCAAGTTCAAGGCTGAAATGCAGAGTTCTTTGGTACGTCAGTAAACAGCTACTGTGACGGTTTTTTAAGCTTCGTTTCATATGATGCGTACAGGAGCACCACTTTGCTACCTTGCAGCGTGAATCGGAGAGGCTCCGGACGGACATGGAGAAAATGAGAAGCGAGTTGAGGTAGTAGACAGATTCGCGTTTTTGATCGAGCTCTCATGCTCGTGATGCAGATACGAAATAGACAAGGTACAGGCAAACCAACGCCTTGATTTGAACCTGGAAAGGGGGTAAGGTATCTATTGTTGTAGGAAAACTCCAGGTTTCTCTAGCGATATAACAGCGATATAAACCTGTATGACTTGTGCTCGGTGTGTGTGACACAGGCATATAAGGGACGAGTTGAACAAGCAGCAGGCTGAAACATCAAATTTAACCAACAAACTAGACCGGGTGAGTATTTTTTGTTTCTCTTAAAACGAGTCACAGGGACAGAAAACTGATAGAGGATGTATACAGGAGATTCACGGTCTCAAAACTCAATTGGAAGCAGGAAAGTACGAAGTAATCAAGTACTGCATAGGTAAGCCAGCGGATCTTGCTATTTGTACGGTGGATTCATGTTCGTGCTTGTGGTTGCAGGAACAATTGTGTCTATTACCGCTGTTGGCCTTGGTTTACTGCGGATTATAATGTGAACATTCAACAATTTAATCATTCATTTCGTGTTGTCTAAGAAAGTATGCCTAAGAACAAAAATAATGTTTTAACTCCTACCACCTTTTTTGTTTTTTTAGTCGCGCTGCTTGATCTTTAATCTGCTGAATTCGCATTGGTTGTCGATGAGCTTTGGCTTGGAAGTGTTGGCTAAGCCACCCTGAGTTTCTTCACAGCTGGATGGCTAGAGTGTTGTTGTGGAGTGAATCTCTTCCTTCCACAACAAGTTGTGATATTGGCAGGAGTAGCCCGTGTGGTGCTACAGTTCTCTAGAATCCAAGGATGATTGATCACTCGATCTAGTGTCAATCGCTTCCTGGGATCCAAATCCAGCATGCCCATGATCAGATTCTTCGCCTCTGGCGACAGATTGGCAGGCCACTGGAACTCCCCCTCGCGCAGCAAATGCATCTCCAGGTTCGATCGCTTGTAGCCCTTGAGGAGTTCGTATGCGATCACTCCAAGCCCCCAAACATCCACCGCCTTGGTGTAAGACAGCCCATATCTCTCGACAAAGATAAGCTCGGGAGCCATGTACTTCTCAGTCCCGCAGCTCTGGCTCATCTCTCTGGCATCGTCGGTCGCCACTCCAAAGTCCCCAATCACTGGCCTGATCGTGCTTGCATCTTGCAGCTCGGTGAAAACGTTCTCCAGCTTGAGATCGCGATGGACAACACCACTCGAGTGGACGCCCTGGAGTGTCTCCGCCAGCTTCTTAACGATCTCGGCTACCTCCTCCTCGCTCAGTGGCCCTTTCATCGCTAGATCGCGCAGGCTATGGCCACAAAGTTCCATGACCATCGTTCCAAAGCAACGCCCGCCAACCTTCCTCTCCCTCCTCAGCTCCCGGAGGAAGACAACTCCAGGAATGGGGCGAAGCTTGTCCAAGATCCTTGTCTCCCTCTCGGCACAACTCTCCGACTTAAACATCTTTCCTGCGTACCTATAGCGGTTGTGGGCTGCGTCGCTCAGCAAGTAGACCTGGCCCTGTCCTCCATGCCCCAACTTCTCGTGTCTGGTGTACCACTTGAGAAGCTCGCCACACTCGTCGTCTCTAAACTCGCCATCCTCGAGCGCCATCACGTCTTCTCCTTTTTTTTCGCTTGGTTTAAAGAAAACCTAGCTTCCCACAACAGCTTTATACTGAGGGTAAAAAGTGATCGCGAAAAGGCCATTAGTTTTACTAAAGTAACAACTAAAAAGTTCAGTAAAAAGCTAGTTCAATCTAAAATTATAATTTTGTTATTATAATAAAATTACATAATTATTATTATGGTGTTGTATACTATATTTATCCCATATTCAAGATGAAAATTAGAATATATCACTCTCAAATTTTATTTTACCATTTCTTTAATATTACTTCTTTTCAATTATTTGTTATAATGTTCATATAAAGTATCATGTTTTATATAGTATATAGAATATTTTCAAATTCAGTGTATTTGGTGGAGCTATGATGGTCCTTATACAAAATTGGTATTTGATGTTTTCAAAATTACTTTCAGTATATTTTTATTTTTGTTTGCTGTTTTAATAATATTTCTTTCTAAAATTATTGTGGCTAAAATTATATCATCAAAATTTCTTTTACATCATGTATTCTCCTTAATTTTTTAAAATTTATTAATAAAATGTAATCACATTTTAAAAATTTGTGGTGTATATATATATATATATATATATATATATATATATATATATATATATATATATATATATATATATATATATATATATATATATATATATATATATATATATATATATATATATATATATATATATATATATATATATATTCACTTATAAACCATTTAGTTATTGTGAGATGTTTTTTCGGAATAAAAAAATTCTAGACTAATATAAAACAACCATATTCAAATTACCTTTAGTCTTTAGGAGGGAACGCAAAACACTTTTGAATAACTGTAATACTAATGCTTAGTTTTTAATAATAGTGGCATATGTAACATATAAGGTGGACGTGCCAGAGTGGTTATTGGGCATTACTAGAAATCATGTGGGCTTGCCCGCCCAGGTTCGAATCCTGCCGTCCACGAATGTCTTGACAATCTTTGGACTTTTTTATTTGAGTGCTGGTCATGTTCTTCAATATTTGTTTCTAATAAAAAGTTTAATAGCTCTTCCAATGTACAAGATCAGGACAAGAAAGGAGAAAACCAAAGAAAAAGGAAAAGAAACCAGAGCAACGCTTGTTGCGCATTTCCGCCTGGCTTGGAACAAATATTATTTTCTCTCCGCTCTTCCCACAGAGCAGCATTCCTATGTCGGTGAAACAAAGAAGCACTTGAGCCATGAAGAAGATTAACCAAACGTCCTAGTAAGAACCTTGAAAGAGCTTGCTACATTGCTTTCACTTCGCTCGCGCTAGTAGCCCGACGACGGAGGCGGAGGAGCCTTGTACACCGGAGAAGGAGTCGGAGGCTTGTAAACCGGAGTGGGAGGCTTGTAGACGGGAGAAGGCGTGGGAGGCTTGTAAACCGGAGCTGGAGTGGAAGGAACCGTGGGAGGCTTGTAAACCGGAGCTGGAGTGGAAGGAACCGTGGGAGGCTTGTAAACCGGAGCTGGAGTGGAAGGAACCGTGGGAGGAGCCTTGTACTCTGGAGCCGGGTACGAGTAAGATGGAGGAGACTTATACTCTGGAGCCGGGTACGAGTAAGATGGAGGAGACTTATACTCTGGAGCCGGGTACGAGTAAGATGGAGGAGACTTGTACTCTGGAGTGGGATAAGAATAAGATGGAGGGGACTTGTACTCTGGAGCCGGGTAAGAATAAGATGGCGGCTTATACCCTGGACTTGGATGCGAAAAGTATGGGAATGGAGGAAGCGGCGGGAAGTGGAGCCAGTCGAGCGTCTTCTGCTCTTCCAGGGGTCTCGCAGCAGAAACAGTTAGTCCACATGAGGAGATTCCAAGGATTACCAGGACCGCTAGCAGCAGAGGAGACGAGCGCTCTCCCATTGCGAAGAAACGAGCGTGAGAGTGTGCCCGCGTCCCGAAACCTTCACTCCTCCTCCTCCTCTTGTGCAGATATCTAGAGCTCGCCCTGTGGCCCAGGATATATAAACCGAAAGCCGCCTGGATGGTAATTAAGCTCGTTTAATGAACTTTCGTGAGCGCCGCTGTATTGCAAAGCACGACCGCCGTAAACCTCGAGAGCGATGGAGTGCAGCTGGAAAGCGAGAAGAAACGAGGCAACCATGTCAGAAACGAAACCAAAGATGGGCCTGCATGCCACTGGAATGTGTGCGGTAACTTTGCACCTACTGGCGCTAATGGACGACCAGTTAGCCGAGAGGACATAAAGTCCGATTGGCTGGCGCCACGCAGAGGACAATTCCCTGGCGCCGTGTATGTGGATCCGCATAAAGGATGTGGACCCAAGGATGAATTCTCTTGCAGTCCATCAATACCCCGTTCTTCATGGATTGATCTGCACCATAGAACACATTTGGTTGTTAGTCATTCTGGCACAAGTAGACGAAGCTTGGTGTCATGTCTCAACTACCGTTAAAAACTCACAGCGTTTATGCACTGGAAAGCGCCCCAGCAATCCATCCATCCAGCAAAGATAACTGGAACATCAAAACAAATTGCTTACACCCCTTGTTCTTGGTCTTTCCTATTGGCCCTGCAAGAGAGTGAATGCAACCGTCAGCTCAACTCACTTCACATGGAGGAAAAGAGGATAAATTAAAAGAGTGAGAACCAACCAGAGTCAGTAGCAACAGCGGCAGCACTCCGAAGTAGTAAACTCATATTCCTTACCGGCGGAATACGGGCAATCCAAGGAAAGAAGCACCGTCAGACCAGGCAGTATTATTTACAACCGTAACCATAGTTTTCACAGTGTCTCACAAATGCCTGTGATGAAATGAGCTCCACGCAATCACACAGCATTAGATGACAGCATATATAGACGGATTGAAAGAGACGGTACTCCCTTAAGCAGTTTGAAAATCTCCAAACTCGTCCTCGCATTCACTTACAGTGTTCTCTAGGCTACTTGCTTTAGTATCATCTTTTGTCAGAGATTCTGAAGGGCCCAGTGGAAAAGATGGCCAACCAGTTGGAGCCTCGGAGGATTTCAGAGATTGCGCATCCGTGAATGTGGACTTTCCTGCAGCTTCGCCGCTCGGCTATACATGACACCCGATTAGTTACAAGAAACAGACAAAAATATTCTAAGCATGTTTACCTTTTTCAAAGACAAGCGGATCGTTTCGCCGCTCTTCAAACTGTAATCAACCGCGGGCTTGGTCTGGTATTCTTGTTCCAATTCTTCCGCTTGCTTCTTCTTGTTCAAGTAGCTATACCATGTTAAAGAAACCGGCAGAATTGTCTACGTAAAGAAAGGATACTTCACATGATCATAAAGAGCAGCTTCGAAATCGTAGGCTTGTGGCCTCTCTCTGAATCCTATCCCGATGAACGCGTGCCGAGACTTCCCACCTACATGCCAGTACAAATAGTCAGCTGTCTCCTTCACACAGCTGCACTTAACTGGAGTTGTCCTCTATCCGCAGCACAAAGTACCTGTAATGACACAAAAGCTAGAACACAATGAAACAAAAAGAAAAAGAAACACTCTAAGAAGTATGCTTATGTCGTCATTGTAACTTCTAACAAACCTGCTGCTGTCGATGACACGCTCAATAGGCAAAGGCTCGTCCTTGCGCACGGACGCCTGTGCATAGAGTTCTCCTACAAACACACGCCGCATTAGTTGTGTTTCAAGTAAAGCGCTTCCACCTGAAGTTTTATCTTCCAGTCTTATGGTGCACTCTTCACCCTTGCTGCAAATTTTCATAGCTCCTTCCCAAGCCCACTTGTTGACATCCCACTCGTCTGCTCTGCAGAGAGAGAGATTTTTTATTTTATTTTTTTAAAACAGGAGTTGGAAAAGTACGTGATAGTTTTAAGCAAAAGAAGGAAATGGTAAAATGCTATTCACCTGTAAGAAGCAGCGGATCGTCTCGGAGGTATCAAGTAGACATAGCATTCCTTGGCGTGAAAAAGAACGAGCTCGGTATTCTCAACCAAATCGTCAGCCGGTTCTAAAGTAGTTACGTCCTTCGGCATTTTAATTCTTCCAGCAAGATCACAGCCAAGCCACTGCAATCATAAAGAAAGATGTCACAATGCCAAACACACCACGCAGCAGCGTCATATAGCTTCTACTAATTCTCTCCTTTCCAGCGAATTCTCTACAAAACCTCTAGGTTCTACTTCCAGAGGCCCGAAATCGTGGAACAGCGAATTTTTGCGTGGATCAAGCGCAAGAAGCATTTCTAAGCTGTGGCGCTCGGATCACACGAAATTCTAAGCTGCACAGCCCGATGGGAATGGCCAGATTGCTTACCACGCGCGCCCAACCCTCGCTCTCTCTGTTTTTAGGGCTCCTCGAGGCACTTTTCCTCTTTTATGACCTTACACCTTTTTCCCTCGCAAAGCTCATTTGTAACAGATTATTTTAGGGTTCTAGGCTGTAGTTTTGGCGATTGAGGACGGCGATGTGAGGTAAGATCACCGATCCCAGCCACAGCTTGCCATCGCGCTCCTCCACCTCGCTGACGTGCTTCACGACCTTGCCCTCTCGATCTTCCAGGATTTCGAGGAGCTCCCCCTGGGCGCTGTAGCGCGCGACCATGCCGTAAGATCTTCCCATAAGGTAGTAGAACGTGTACTCAAGAGGGATTGGAATGCGCAGCAGGAGCGTCTTGAGCCGAGGATGGCTGGCCAGGAATTCCATCCGGCTGCTTCGACTGTACATTGCGACCCAAAACTCGCCCCTTTCGTTGAGCCGGACGTTGTCTGGATTGCCCGGAAGCGTCGTAAAGACATCCGTGGTTCCAGCTTTTGGGCCTTTGAGCCAGTAGCGAAGCAATCTGGTAAGATACATCGCGTAAGCAATCTTCTCCTTTTCTATAGCTTCCACTTCTTCTTTTTTTTTCTACCTTGCAGTGATGGATTCCGCTATCAAGATGAAGGAGCTATCGTTGTTCACCGCGATTCCATTTGGAAACCGGAGCTTGTCGAGCACCACGATGGTTTTCTTTGACTGAGGATCATACCTCAGTAAACGGCCAGTGTTATCCCCCTCGAGCACTGAAACAAGGTACTGTCTGCGCTTTTTTTTTCTCGCGCTTTAAAGAGAGAAGAAATAAGAGAGCTTTGTTACCTTCTTTGATATCTCGTGCTTGTATCAGTGAAATATACGAAGCCTTTGTCATCAAAGTCGACATCGTTGGCGAACTTGATCTTCTGGCCATTTACTTCGTTGGCCAGGACCTGTGCCTGGCCTCCCTCCGAACCAACGACCATCAAACCCATGTAGGCATCGGCAATGTAGAGCTTTGACGAGCTTTTGTTGAATCTCAGGCCCAGTGGACGTCCACATATGTGTTCCTGCTTGAAGTACACGATCGGGGGATTCCGGGGATCGCACTCTCTGGTCCTGTTTCAATCCATCATCAGAGGTAAAAAGTGATAGAGAAACCTTTTCTCGTCTTTCTTCTCCCACACGTACCTATTCGCAGACGTCGTTGCAAACTCCCTCCAGCCAACTTCGGAGCCTTGCCACAGAAGCACACGTCCGTCACTCACGCCAGTGTATGGGCCTCGTCCTTTGGAATCAAAGGCAATGCTCTCGGGTCCCAGGAACTCATTCTCGAACCGCAGCATAGCTCCCAGCAGCCGGTTGCTCGGATCCTTGAGCATGGTGGCGGCATTTTGGACTGGCGGCTCCACATACTTTGCCTGAAAGCTGGGGATCTGCCTCACGAAGCTGAGACGCAGCGGGTCCATTGCGACGATCACGACGAGCAAGCCGCACAAAGCCCGGCATGTTACGAGCGTGTTTCTCTGGAGCTTCTCAACAGCCATCTACTGTCAGCTTACACACGCAGACCTCGGTGAGGCGATATGCTTCGAAACTCGGTGAGTTTTTCTCACGGTTTTTTCGTTTTTCGTTTTTGGATTTCCACTTTTCGCGTGTGTTTTTCGGCCTTGCAGGCTGCAAGAAGACAGCCGGCATCTTTTCATGCGAAAAGATGGTGGGCAATTTTACAATCACACGGTGGGTGGTTCATTCTTTTTGCACTGTCTGACATGAGGAACATATCCAGGTACTTGTTTATGGCCCCAACCAAGATCCCGCGAGAGCTCTGGTGGACCTACTATACAAAATCTCTTCTCTTCTGTTTTCTCCAGGGACACGATTTTGACCAGTAGGTACTTTTCGCAACACGTCTTTGCTTCGAAACCCGCTGCTAGAACTCGAAATAAAAACGATTCATAAGCTGAGTAACCTTGCATGCGGAGTCTCGCTGCTGATCTCGAGACAACGTGACGGTAGAGTAGAGCACTTACAAGAATTACTTACAATTTAAGAAAATTGAAATCCCTCGGAGTCCAGAACATGAGAAAATAAAACAACATATAACGTGCAGTGATGTTTAGAAAATCGGCTATGGCTGACGAAACAGTTGACTTTACAAGTCTGGCTCTCTCTCTCTCTCACAAAGGTAATTAATAACATATAATTTGTCATTTTCAGCAAGGAAATTCATCCGAAAGTGTTGATGAAGCCTGCATGCTTTCACTTCGAACTCTCCAATATGCCGCCCAAACTTCCTGGGGTCTGAATGCTGGTCGTGTCTGCATGAAGCATATCCTCCACAAACTGGCATGTCCTGCATCACAACGATGTCCCTCTGAAGCAGCGAAATCCACAGCCGTAGAATCCCAGCTCCTGGAATCCAATCTTACTTGGCAGCCATGTTTTAAATCCTTTGGCGCCCAACTAGATACATAGGAGACTGAATGTTTTCCATTAAAAACAATCCACCAGATTGTTGTATTTTGCAAGGATATAGAAGTAACAAAGTCTACATAATTGGAGAAGTAATCCAAAGCTGTTCTTTAAGTAGGGTTCTATTGCAGGAGAGCTTGTATGGGCCATGCAGCTTTATTTTAAGTGCTTCTGACTGGTATGTTATTTCACTTTAGAAAACCACTGAGCTTGACTTCTTTGATCAAAATAGATTTTTATCGTACAAGTCAAGCTTTTGGTGTGTTCAAGTGAATTAGCATACAAGGAGAACACACTGAGATATGGGCCATACAAGCTCTCTTGTGAGAGAGATATATACCCGTACAACAACTCTGGACTACTTTACAATCATGTAGATTTTTTTGCTTCCAGATAGATATTGCATACCAGTCTAACTCACCAAGATTAAAAGCTCACCATGACACCAGGATTCCCCAAACACATATGTGGCAAGCATTACGTTCGAGCACATTATATCTTGTTAATGAATCTTCTGAAAGCCTTGCAGGGATTCCCTCTAGACCACTTTGTGTTAAGGCACTGCATTCCAGGTTTCTGCTTTGGGAATATGCTGCGAGCTTGGCATTATCCATAAAACGGGCATAGAATTGATTCAATCAAGCCCAGCTCCATATTATATACACTTTCAATATCAAATCCCAGGAGAAGGGGATAAAGCGAGTAGTCTTTGTTCACATCTAAGATCTTAAGCTTGCAGTGAAGCCCTTGAGATCCCTGATGTATAGCTTGTTCAGATTCATCAGTTAAAATTTATCAAAATGAGTGTATTGAGCATAAAATACTACAATATTCTTTTGTTAATTTTATATTATCAGTTTTCTCCAAAGTGCATTGCATAGCAAAAGGTGCTAAGACAAGAGTCCCTTACATAATTTGTTCTTACAATATATATAATTCCTGATGCTTCATGTTTCTTTACTAACGCCCAACATAGTTATTTCTTCTTGGTATGTTCTTGTTCTTGTTTTTCTTTTATATTCAGGAAGTTCATACGTTTGAACCCGTTTGGGAGTGGATGCGTAACTCCCCAATGTAAAAATCACTACGGTCAGTTTGTCTCGGCTTGCGAAGCTGCATTGCCGATCTGTTGTGCCGCGCAGATTCTCATTGTGTGCTTTGATCTTGCAGGAATATCACAAATCGCAAGGGCTGGGGCGAAATATTTCGACCCAGAGGTAGTAGATCCACTCTGTTTGATTTGTAGTTTTGGGTGTACTATGCTCTATAAACAAAAACTCTTCAAAAGTCCTCTCTAACCGGCTCTGGACGAACATCCAGCAGCCGCACAGGCTTGGTCATGTCCAACACTTTGCGATGATCCTCGCCGAAAATCTCCGCCGCGTTCTTCTCCGAGACCTCCACCACGAGCTGCGGGCCTCCCCTCGCCGGGTACACCACTCTCGTGTTCTCGCCACTGCTCTCCGCCGCCGGGTACGTTAGCATGAGCCGGATATATCCAGCCGACCATGGAACGCTGCTCGAGCTTCTCACGAACTCCTCGAACGCCTGCCTCTTGGCCTGCTGGATCCCAGCGTCCTTTCTCGGCGGATCGCCCCTCCAGGCCGTGTAGGCCGCCTCTGGATCCGTGCAGTGCATCGCCCCCGCGTAAGATCTCGTCCTGTGCTTGTACTTCACGTAAACTCCAGAGCCGATCGTTCGCCCGTCACGGAAGCGCACGAAGAAGAATGCGTCGGGGCCGGCCATGCCCTCGCAGATGAGGAGTGGAGCTCTCGACTCGTCCGGCTGGCTCATGAACTCCAACAGCCCCGCGTTGATGCTTCCGGCCTGGACCCAGGGGCCGGTCGCCTTCTCGGCGTTGACGATGCTAGCCGGCTGCTGGAAGATCTCCGGGAGCTCCACGCCTTTGAAGAGAGCGTGCTGGTGTAGCGGGGTGGCGCCATCGAAGAGCTTCACCAGGTCGTCGAAGAGGTGCATCTCCCACAGCCTGCCTTTGCCTTGGACGAGCGACGAGACTCTGAGCTCCTGGAGCAGCTCCGCGTCGGCGCTGAAGTGCTTGTGGAGGACTTTGACGATGAGCGGCTCGTCGATCTGTGCCGAGACCATCACCCCGGGGGCGGCCAGGCACTCTCCCGTGGCCGGGTCGTCGACTGGAATGGTTTGCATGCGCGCGAAGCCGAGGTAGACCATTTTCATCTCTTTCACCGTGATGGCCTGGAAGGTGTCACCCCACCACGCGAACGCCCTGTAGACGTTCCTCACCAGATCGTAAGTAGTCCTGTCGATAACTCTCATCTCCTTGAGCACGTAGGCGTGGGTGTGCCTCGCATCGATCTTCTCTAGCGCGTGAGTCTCGTAGTCCCGGATGCAGTTCTCCACTGACTTGTACGTCGTCGGCTTCGAGTTTGGATCCAGGCCACCGAGAAGCCCCTCGACGCAGTTGACCAGCGGCCGCATCCTTCCGCTCCAGGTCCACAGCAGAGCCCGGCACTCCTCCACTGTGACTTGCATGAACGTGTCCAGGTATGCCTTTAGTTGCATCTCGTTCTCCCATACCGAGAAGTCGGCAAACTTGACGGTTGGAGTCTGCTTGAGAGGTCCCAGGAGGCTCGTCTTGTCCTCGAGCATCTCCAGGCCCGAGCCGCAGATCACCAGCTCGTGTCCCTTGAGAGTTTCGCTTGGAAAGAGCATTGCCTTCACCATCGGGTAGTAAATGGAGATGGGAACCAGGTGGCTCTTTCGCAGAGGGAAAACGTTGGGCCGGCAATGGAAGAGGACGTGAGCTTCTTCGAGCACGACTCTGAGCTTGGGAACCCCGTACTGGAGGTGTGCCCAGACTTTGTCAATCTGACGGGTCATGTCGTCGTTCTCGTATTCCCCGCACAATACTGCCGTGAGCTCTCGGAAGATATCCATCCCAGTCATTCGAGGTCCTTCCACCTACAAAAAAACAAGCTCTTAGACAGAAACAAGGAAGACAAACAAAGTCTAGCTTGCCTGAAGCTGGAGAAAGATATAAGGATTAAACCCTGGAACACGCAGCCGGAAGATATAGTCGAGGACCAGCATTCTTCCCAGCAGCAACGCGCGTGCGTGTTGCTCGGCTATGACGTCCCGCTTTGGAACGTCGTAAACGTCGTCCATAAGAACTTGCATCATACGTTGGCAGTAGACTGTGTCGCCCGACCCCCGGTTAACTTCGCTCTCCGCCGTGTAGTAGAATCCATACTCGTTGGAGAGAAGCTCAAACATGCACCGTGTTTTTCCACAGCCGGGAGCTCCCAAAACCATCACGAACTTGTCCTCTGTCTCTCGCAGCAGCTGCTCAATTCTCTGTGTCTCGGGCTTGCGGTTCTCGAGGCCCTGCCACTGTAGAAGCGGCCTTCCTCTTGCCTCTGGCAATGGCAACTTAGCTCGCTGGTGCCGATAGGTTCTTAGGCCGGATTTTCCCTGAGCAAACCTTGCAATAAATTCGGCGATGGTCATGTTGTTATTAAGTTTGGTGTCGAGGTATTTTTTCCATGGCTCATCTGCAAGGGAGAACAAGACAGAATGAATCTCGCAAAACCAGGAAAAACAACACAAACTTCGAGAACTAGAACGAAAGTGTACCAGTTCTTAGATCATAGTCGGGAGGGCGGATTTTTTTTACTTTGACGGACCCAGGAAAGGCTTCAGCGTACCTGGAACAAGCAAAACCATCAATCGATCCTTCACGAATAAAAGCCAAAACAAATTATTTCACTTCGCCTGGAACGATCCACCCTCGACTGCTCGAGCGGCTGGCCCGGAGTAGAATCGCCGCTGCCTGCGACCCCAGGGATAGGGATATGCTGCCCAAAAAATCCACACACACGCTCGATTCAGACCAATGCGCGACCGAAATCCCGAAATGCAGGCTCAAATCGATCGAAGAACGCACCTGTTTTCGCCATTCGACCGGGCGGAGTGGAATGGAGCGATGGCGGCGAGCCGCCGAGCCAGGGCTTGAGGAGAATGGCCATCTTCGCCTGCGCCATGGATAAACCCTGCCAAAAACCCTAGCTCTTTGAGTAGTATATTCGCTTCTTATCTCATTGGAGGGTTTCCTTTAGCATGGAGGAGGAGCGCTCGCCTCCTCCTTTGAAGAACTGCTATTGGGTTCTTCGCCATGGTCGCAGCGTGCCAAACGAGATTGGTCTCATCGTTTCTCACAAGGTACTTCCCTCGATCCATAGCTACAAGTCAAGGTAGTGAGAAGAAATGGTCAAAAGAAAAAATTCGCTGCCTCGTTACTTTGGAGTATAGATCAAGGCATGGATCTAAACTTACTTGGATTGCGAAAAAAATCATAGATCATGCTTTCAACTTAGCGATGGTGTATAGTTTTATTTTCTCCAATTTTCACTTTCCAACTTGATTGATTTTGATTGTAGAGCAATGGGACATTACCTCAGCATGGCCTCGCCGAGGGGGGATTCGTTCAAGCCAAGGCTGCTGGCGAGATCTTTGTTAAGGTACCGATTCTTCTCAAGAGAAAAACGCCCCTGAGAAAACTTTTGTAGCAACTCGAAGAGCACGGCAGCTTTAAGAACGTCGCCATTTACTCTTCGCCCTTCACGCGGACCATGGAGACTGCAAACTGCGTAGCTGAAGTTCTCAAGCATGCATACGAAAATTTGGAGATCAGAGTAAGTCCTTTGCATTTCCTTGTTTGTAAGACAAAGAAGAATTCTCTCGTTGATTCAGGTCTTGGATGAGCTGCGTGAGAGGTACTTCGGGCCAGCTCTAGAGCTGCAGTCTCATCTTCACGTAGAAAGTTTGCTGTTTTTTTTTTCTCGCTCTGTCTTTAAGCTCCATTTACCATGACAGTATCCCGAGATCTGGGAAATCGATGCGCGAAACCCACTCGTTGGCCCCGAAGGTGGTGAAAGCGTAGCCGATGTTGCAAAGCGAGTAGCCGCAGTGATTCCTCAGCTCGAGTTACAACACGAAGGGTAGGCAAAACATGAAGTCTTTATTTCACTTTCGATGGAGCTTTTGCTGTTGCAGTTATGCTATATTGCTTGTAAGTCATGGTGACACACTCCAGATCCTTCAAACTATAACAAAGGCCGCGGAGGTAAGCAGGATCAAAACGGACAGTGAGGAATACGTCTCCATTCTTTCCCAGCATCGAAAGTTTGCACTGCTCACTGGAGAACTTAGACGGCTTGCATGACTATTCTTTTATTTTTATTTTTATTTTTCTCACACACAAACATTGAAACACTTGATAAAAACTTTAAGCTTTATTTTCATTTTTTCTTTCTTTTCTTACAAACTTTTCTCTGCTTGTTTTTGGCAGAAATCAAATGTCCTTTGGAGTATTCCAAGCACAAAGGGCCGGCAGACTTTGTCTTTGTGTGTTGGATTATCTCTTCTAACATTAATTTGTTGCAAAGTCTTTGTCTTTGTTAAAGCTATGGAGCTTCCCGATCTTCACAACAAGTATTGGGTGCTCAGGCATGGACGAAGCGTTCCCAACGAGTTGGATCTAATCGTCTCACACGAGGTTCGCTCGCTCTCGAAGCTTTATCATTTTCTCACCAGTGGTTTTACCAGGCTAATGGAGTTCTGCCTGGGTATGGGCTTGCTCCTCAGGGCCTTGTGCAAGCAAGAAACGCTGGCAAAATCTTCGTCAAGGTGATGATGGATATCAGCTCTCGAATTAAGTTGTCCTTTTTTCATTCTTTCTTCCTGACAGGAACTCAAGAAATTTAGTCTAGACAATGTCTGGATCTATTCTTCCCCGTTTAGCCGCACGATCCAAACATCTGAGTGCGTTTTGGAAGCGGTGGATGCAAGCTTTGAGAATACACGGATTCATGTAAGGCATAGATTTTCTCTTTTTCACTTTCCTATTGTTTGAACTTTAAAGTATAAAAACTTTTCTTGTCATTCAGGTTCTTAGTGAGCTTAGGGAGCGATACTTTGGGCCATTCTATGAACTAAAGTCGCGCTTGGAGGTACTTATCTTTGTTTTATCTCAAAGTATAGATGCATTTTTCTTGTTTCAGTACTCTCACGACGATAGAAAGGATCCCTTTGTTGGGCCTGAAGGCGGTGAAAGTGTCATGGACGTGTACGAGAGAGTGCTCAAAGCAATTCATGAAATCGAGCGACAAACGCACGGGTAAGGAAAAAAATCATTGCCGCAAGTTTTGTGTAGTGATTTTGCTAAAATTTTGAACTTCCAGGTCTGCTGTTTTGATTGTTGGCCATGGTGATGTTCTTCAAATCCTCCAGGCAGTAGTGGACTACAGGAGCTCAAAAAAGCTCAGAACATATGAAGAACTTGCCAGTAGCTTGTCCAAACACAAGAGATTTGAGCTTTCTAATGGCGAGCTTAGAGAGCTCAATTAGTCATTTTATGTTTTATATTTTTCCGCTTTCTAACTAAATATTAGTTTTTTATTCAAATAGACATGTGCCATAAAGCGAGAAATAGTTATTGAATTGACACAAACTTCGCATCTCCCAACCATTCAATCGAAAGATCCTGTGGAACAAACGTAGATACAGTCTAACAACCTCAAGGATTCACTAACCTCTAACAAAGAACAATTACCACAAAGCACAACCAATGACTGTGCGGCACGTGGATAAGAATGCCACGCCACCATGCCAGTCAGTAGTGCCACGTGATTTGCTGACGTGTGTAGTGAGTCAGAGCCAGCTACCGTACCAACGCAGTAACGAGCGTCAGATCGCCCTGCCATCGCATATAAATACGTTGGCATACCTTCACATTCACACGCTCCCGCTCCCTCACAGAAAACCACACGTCTCGCCGTCACGCCCTCGCGAGTGAGGGGCCAAAGATTCTCCTCCTGGTTTCTCCCAGTTGAGAATATCCGATCTATCAGCGATGTAATGAAAGCAAAGGGGTGGTGTGGTGGTGTGGTGGTGTGGAGCATTTAAAAACCTAAGCATTGTTTTTTCTTTCTTGCTGGGGCTGTGCTCTCTTTTTTCACGGCCAAGCCGGAGGAGCTCTGGCATTCTTTGACTTGATCGACTTTTTTCAATGCAGCGCCGCTAGATCATCGAGACGTCGCGAGGGAGAGCTAAAAAAATAAGGGAAGATCCAGGTTTCTTGTCTCCATTCTCAGCGGTGTTCTTGATGATCACTTAAGAGTGCCCATTCCGCAATCCAGATAGATAGAGCAGTAGAGGTCCTACCCTGTGATGGATTCATCGGTATTCCAAGCGATTGTGGCGGCCTTCTTTCTATCCCTCTCGCTCATCCACTTCCTCTTCTTTAGACCGATCAGGCCGGGAGCCAAGAGCAATGTAGATCCAGGCGTGAAAGGGAGGGATCGTCGCCAGCGATTGCATCTCCCCCCGGGTCCCAAACCATGGCCAGTCATCGGCAATCTCCTCCAGATCGGCCCCTTCCCCCACAAGAGCATGATGGAATTCACGCGCCGCCACGGCCCGCTCGTCTATCTCAAGCTGGGCGTGGTCCCCACGATCGTGACCGACAGCCCCGCGATCATCCGCGACATCCTCATCAAGCAAGATCACATCTTCGCGTCGCGGCCGGAGAACATCGCGTGCCAGTACTTCACGTACAATGGCCGCGACATCGCCTTCGCCCCGTACGGCCAGCACTGGCGGGCAATGCGTAAGATTTGCACGCTGGAGCTCCTCTCGCCGCGGAAGATCGCCTCCTTCCGCGACGGCCGCTGCCAGGAGCTCAATCTCATGGTGGAGAGCGTCTTCCAGGATCTCGGGAGGGAGGACGGATCATCGCCCACGACGCACAAGATCAATCTCCGCGACAAATTCGCGAGCTTGTCCTGCAACATCCTCACGCGGATGCTCCTGGGCAAGCGGCACTTCGGCCCGGGCGCCGCCGGGCCCGAGGACGCCGCCGAGCACAAGCAGATGATCTACGAGGGCTTCGCGCTGGTGAACGCGTTCAATGTGGCCGACTACCTCCCCTTCCTGCGCGCGTTTGATCTGCAGGGCCACGAGAGGAAGATGCGGCGGATCATGCAGCGCACGGACGAGGTCTACGACGAGATCATCGAGGAGCATCGCCAGAAGCTCGCCAAGAACAGCGGGCGATCTTGCCAGGAACAGCAGGGGGCCAGCTTCGTGGATGTTTTGCTGTCGGTGCCTGGCGCCAATGGCGAGAAGCAGCTGTCCACGACGACCATCAAGGCGATCATGATTGTAAGTGCCCACCACCTTTTTGCTTGCTGGCTTGCTTGCTTTCCTCTCGTGTTTGGGTCTTGCAGCATTTGCCGTCTAGCGGCATTTGCTGCCGATGCAACTTACCGTCGCTCGTGTGGAACGTCTTTGCTTGAAAAACTGCGGTTAACAATCTAGTGAATGCCGTTGTTAGTTGGTGAATAGGTGCTTACCCTAAAAGGCCCTTTTCCTGCTTTTTCTCTGGTCAAACATGGGTTAACTGTTGTGCTTGTGGCATATGCCCTTAAAGGACATTTGCTACTTTCTCGGGCGGCGAGTTAATGCGTTCTTTTCTGCTTCTTTTCGCTGGTTTTTCCAGGACATGCTCTCGGCGGGAACAGACACCTCGTCCGTGATCAGCGAGTGGGCGATGGCCGAGCTGGCACGGCACCCGCGAGAGATGGCCAAGGTCCGCGAAGAACTCGACGCGGCGGTGGGCGTTGACCGGCCCGTTGACGAGTCGGACGTGGTCAACCTCAACTATCTCAAGGCGGTGGTGAAGGAGATCTTCCGGCTCCACCCGGTGGGCGCGTTCCTTATCCCGCATTTCTCCACTGAGGACACGCGGATCGGCGGCTACGACATCCCCAAGAACACGCGCATCCTCGTCAACACGTACTCGCTTGGGAGGAGCCGATCGGTGTGGGGCGACGACGTGCATCTCTTCCGCCCCGATCGCTTCCTCGCCTCGCCGGGCGATCTCTCGTCCCAGATCGTGGAGCTCATGGACTCGGAGTGCCGGGTGGTGCCGTTTGGGGCCGGGCGGAGGAGCTGCCCCGGCGCGTCGCTGGGGTCGTGCATGGTGGTGATGGGGCTGGCGAGATTGATCCAGAGGTTCGATTGGAGCGCACCGCCAGGGGAGGAGATTGATGTGAGCGAGCGAGTGGGATTCACGGTGCTGGACAAGCCGCTGGAGCTCGTCGCCAAGCCGAGGGAGTGCGTAAATTTCTAGCTCAACTCAAGGTGGATCGATCTTTGGTTCTTCTTCGATTTCTTGCCGCAAGGGCGATCGTGGATTCTTTCATTTCGTCATGTAGGATCAATTCTCTCATTGTTTGCAGAGGCTTTGCTTTTATCTAGTCCAAGGCCGTGAATGAAAGAAGACCCCAGTCAACGTCTTTGACTGGGCGGGACTAGAAAGTCAACTCAACTAGAATGCGTGAAACCTCTTTGAGCTGCTAGAGCCATGGTAAACGAGATACAAAGACACTCGCCAAGAACAAGAGCGAAAAATAAAGCCCATCTTGGAACTTCTCTCAGAGATTTTTTTTCTGCTACTACTTGCCGGTGTTCATCATGAGCGTGATGTTATCGCCCTTGAGGAGGATCCGGCCCAGCGGCTTGCGGGACTTCTTCTTGAGCGAGATCTCGTAGGCGTCGTCCAGTACCAGATTCATGTACTCGTCAAACCCTATGATCCGGCCCTCGATTCTCAAATCCTTCTGCTCAAACAGCCACACCTGGATCGTCGCCTTGCTCTGCAGGAACCGGAAGATGAGATTGATGGGCTGGGTCATGATCCGCTGGACTTTGGAGGTCGCCATGGCTGCCGCGCGCGCTTCTCCTCCGCCTTGCCGAGAGCCCTAAAATAAATCTGCAAGAATCCTAATTTCTTCTGGTTATTTGGGCAATGGCGGCAGCGGGGCGCCTGGCGGTGGGATGCGCCGTCGCGTGGCGGAAATCCGTGGCGCCACGGAATGGATTTCGATCGAGATTGAATGCGGGCGTATTCCGGCAGCAGCAGCAGCGAGGATTTCAAGTGATAACGGCAGCTAGACGGCTGTTCACGGAGCTGAAGAAGATACGGGAGGAAGCCGATGGTGAGATTGCGTGGTATGCGGTTCTTGCCTCCTGATTTTCTTGTTTCCTCGCAGCTGGCCCCGTGGAATTCGATTCCAATCTCAGCATTGTCTTGTATCCCGATCCCAAGCTCCGCGCGAGGAACATCCGCATCAACTCCTTTGATGATAACCTCAAGAAGCTTGTCGATGAGATGCTGGACGTGATGTACAGGTATGTTCTTCCCGAATTTCATCGCTGCCAAACGCTGGCATGCTTTGTTTTCTTGTCTTCTTTTCTTTTTTGCCAGGACAGATGGAGTAGGCTTGTCCGCTCCACAGGTAGGCGTCAATGCCAGGCTCATGGTCTTTAATCCCGAGGGTGAAAGAGGCAAAGGCAAAGAGTACGTTTTCGTGAATCCAATGATTGTCAAGTTTGGGAAAGAGCGAGAAGCTGATAGAGAAGGATGCCTATCTTTTTACAGCGCTCAAGCCGATGTCGAGGTACTATTCCTTTGTACTTGAGATTCTCTTTTATGGTTTATGTCTTTGTTCCCAGAGACCGATATCGATCCGAGTCGAAGCTCAAGATATCAACGGGAAGAAATTCGGTACCACCTTCAGGGGCTGGACTGCTCGAATTTTCCAACATGAGTATGATCACCTGGAGGTAAGGTCTCGTTTGGTTTCTTCTGTGCAGACATCAAGGTGGCCGTGGTATTTGTTCGCACAGGGTGTCCTCTACATCGACCGGATGACTCCAAAAGCATTGAACTCCATTGGAAAAGAACTTTTGGTACTGTTGCCTGTATAGATTCCATTGTTGTATGTTCTCTCACGGCTTTGTTGCAGAATCTGGAAGAGGAGTTTGAGAAGAGAACTGGGACGCCTCGTCCCGAGTCGGTTAAAGACAAACTGTTAAGCTCAGTAGCGTCTTGAAATGCAAAGTGTTTGTTCTGGAAAGGTGCTCGGTTCGATTACGTTCTTTGCGCTCCGTTTGAACTTACCGGAAATTTCGGCTGGCGCTGAAGATGGAATCTAATCGAGCGGTGAGCGCCTTGCTTATATTTCCATCGTAGAGAGTTGAACCTTTTCTCTTTTCTTTTCTTGTGTGTTATTTTTTCAGAGTTGCTGTCGACGATCCCGCGCCACACGAGCTACCATCTGGCCAGATGGCTGACCTTCAAATCATCCTGGTTGACGTAGAATCAGGGCACTGACTACCTCCAAAGTGGTGAAGATGGCCCGAAATAAGTGTGAAGAACGAAGCGAGAAACATTGGCCCATTAGGCGGTGCGTGGCGTAGCCCAAGGAGGAGCTCTTGTTTTCCTGGAGTTCTTTTGTCTCCAATAACGCAGCAGACACAAGGAAGTTCCGAATTTTCTGGGAGGAGTCCCGCAGAGCTGTGAAGGGAGACATCGGCTCGTGACGTTCTCGGGCAGCTTCTCCACCAGATTTCGGTCAGATTATCGCTCAGAACTTTGTCTCAGGGAGAGAGAATCTGGAAGTCATCTCTCAGCCTCAGGCATTAACACCTTTGGGACGACTTAAAAAATCTCAAGTACTTGTCGTCACTCGGGTTCAATTCACGCAAAGTACTCGAGGAACGCTACGGCAGAAAATAAGTGCGGGCGAGAAAGCGGAGGATGCGTATCCCGGCAGGCGACAAGGAGGCAAAAACGCGGATACATCCGGAAAAGCAGGTGTCTCAGCATGGGGAGCCAGCAGCCGAAATCCAAACGCAACGACAGAGGTGGCAACAGCAGATATGAGATGATCGAGTACAGGAGACGACGGCCAGGAGGCTGACACGAAGGAGATCGGCGTGGAAGGACAACATCCGAGGTAGTGTTTGTTTTGACGAAAATGACTAGGGGCCTAATTTTGTGTTTTTGACAACAAAAACGTGCTGCAGGATACGTGCAGGACTAGTTAGCAGCCAGCTCGCATTGACTGAATTTTCCAAACACATTCCTCTTTGTAAGGAGTTGTGGTAAGTCGGAATTTCATGTTTTAAAGCTATCCTCTTATTCTTCTCTTCGCTCTTGAACTTTCCCATCGTGAGGCTCCTTTCAGGATGAGCGGGATTGTCGCAGATGATAGCAGCTACCTTGTAACACACTATACGAGCGTGTGGTCGTACCTGTGGCCTCACATCTCTCATTCTTTGGAAGTCGGGAGCGTGAACTTGGATTGGAGAGCGAGATGTTCTCTGTTTATGCTCCGGAGCGTGAGGTCTGTCTCTCAACCGCTGAAGCACTTTGGAAGATGGACGGAGAAGGCAATTAACCTGTGTGCAGCCAATGGAGGAATTCTCAGGACCTTGTATACACTTTCGATAGATCCACAGGGTAAATAGAATTGATTTCACGGTGTTGACTTTTGATTGTGTTGTTGTTCTCCAGCGCTTGTTGATCTTGCCGAGGACTCGGAGAGCTACCTGACTTTCAACGGCCACATGGAACCAAGAACCAGCCTCCTCCAAGCCCCTTTGTCTCAGCGTCTTTGTCTTTCATGTCCAGACTCCAAAGCGGTAGCAGATGTTTGTGCTATGGCGTCTAAGGTTGCGTATGAGAGCCCGAAGTTCATCGAATTTGTCGTGAATCAGAATTGGAAGGTAAGTCCAAGCCTTGCACAACCTCTGACTCCATCAGCTTCTCCTGTGCAGATGCATCTACTAGGAACTTACAACTGTTGGAACGGTAAGAGGTTATTTTTCTCGCTATCCAGTTTCATCTGACGTTGCTGTCTCTCTTTCATGCTACAGAGTTTCAGAAAAAAAACTCGACTCAAGCTTTCATCTTTGCCGACCGGGAAACTGATGCAGAAGCCATCGTTCTTGCCTTCCGGGGAACGGAAGCCTTCAATGCATACGACTGGTGCACAGACTTGGATTTCTCCTGGTACGAGCTGCCGCAGCTCGGCCGTGTCCATCTCGGATTCCTTGAAGCACTGGGCCTGGGCGACAGGAACAGGATGCAAAGCTTCCAGAGGTTGAAGCAGAACATCTACGAGAACTCGAGGACTCCGTTGCCACAGACTCCGACGTCTGGACTGCCGGACTTTGTCCTCAGCGACGAGACGAAGCTGCTTGCGTACGACCACATCAGCGCGGAGCTCATCACTATCCTACGGAACCACAGAAACGCAAAGCTCTACATCACCGGTCACAGCCTCGGCGGCGCTCTAGCGACTCTCTTCACCGCCATGCTCTTCTACAACCGGGAAGAGCATCGCATCTTTTACAACACCGAGGACGATGTTGCCAGGAGGCTCGCGGCGCTCTACACGTTTGGCCAGCCCCGTGTTGGAGACGAGAGCTTCGCGTCCTTCATGGACGCCAGCTTAAACAAGCCAACCATGAGGTACTTTAGAGTTGTCTACAATAACGACGTGGTAGCTCGAGTCCCCTTCGACAACTCTTTGTTTGGCTTCAAGCATTTCGGGAATTGCTGCTACTTCACTCACAACTACACCCTCCAGGTACTTTACTTCGAGACACTGCTCTCTGTGTAGGATCCATATTAACGTTCTGCACAGATCCTTCCGGACGAGCCATTTCCCAATTTCCTCTCCCCGGTTTACATGGTGCTGTCCCGGCTTTACGCGCTGTTCGAGCTCGTCCAGAGCTTCTTCATGAGCTATAGATATGGCGGGGAGTTTAGCGAGACGAGGTTGTCCACTGTGGCAAGGATTGCAGGCTTGCTCGTGCCTGGGATCGCCGGGCACAGCTTGGTGAATTACGTCAACTGCGTCCGGCTGGGTCCCGACCATCTCGATCCGGCGTGCCTGCAAAACTCTGAGTGGGATAAATCACAGTAATCATCGCAACTATTTCGTATTTTTGAACATAGAAAGGGATGGCAGGCTTCGAATCTGCGCTGGCAAGCCCACAGCCGCTTGGCACGTCCACCTTAGCTGCTGGTGTTAACTAATGTATTGTAAAATTAAGAACAAATAGAAAATAAATAAAATGAAATAAATAAAATGAATATGTGAGGGCTGGGTGTATGTCCAAGTGTATGGTTACAATGCCATATATTAATATTAATGGCTGTACATTAATATTAACATAGTAGCATTACATATTTATGCATGCATTTCCATATTCCATGCATTTACATTAGTGGAAATGTAGGGAAACTTTGATTGTCCATAGGATTTTTGTTTAAATCTAACTTTTGCATTATTTAAATTTTATTTTTCTTATAGCTTTCTGAATTTCTTCTTTTATGCTTTTTCCTTTTTATTCATCTTCATAGTAGAGTAGTAACTTCTTCCTCCTTTGACTCTGGAGCAATAATTGGTGTAGTTTCTTGATGTTATGCAATTGCAATTGAATAATTAAACTTAGTTGATAGTGGCATTTATAATGTGTGGTATAATTTTTCTTACTCTTACTACCAATCCTTACATCTAGTGAAAGTTTTTTAATGAGAATTCTAAAGATGATATATACCATTAGTTTAATCACTTTATAGTGATTATCACATATTATTCTTAGGATGATGTTTAATGTTTGCATGAGTTTACTACGTGTTTCCAAGGGACAGTATTATAGTGGTACCATGGTTTGGGTATAGCCACTCGTGTGGATTATAACATTCTCTTAGACATTTTTAAATGTGTATTTGGACATACTGATAATTGTGATGATACCTTCTAACAATTGCATTATCTTCATTAAGGGCTATTTGAGTTAATGATGCAATTTGACATTCGTTTTCAGAGCCTTTTGCTTTGTGCAAAATCAAATATATCGAAGTGGATCAAATTAAGAATATTGTGGCCAATTTTATCAAGATTTTGTAGGATTTATGCATGCACTTATTCTAACCACTCTTAATAATGTTTTTTGCCTAACACAACACTATGAGATTTTACTTCTTCCATTTTTAGATAGTCATGTTCTAATGGAGGTTGATGTTGTTGTTGCCAGAGTTTAAAAATAAAAGCAAAGATGTGGTTATGGTGTAACACATGTGATCATGGGATGAGATTTGGATATACTGTCACCGTAGATCCTTGGAACCTTGGGGGATAAATAGGGATAAAAATAGCCACTAAAGGCTCTCTTATCAAGCAATTGCCCTTTTTAAAGTTGGCTTAAGGGGAGAGAGATAAAGTGTGTTACATGTGGTATTAGAGCAAATGATATGGGTTCAATTCCCATTGATTAGTTAAAATATAATATACCTTTGAGCAATGTATATTTCTACCTTTAAAATTTGAAATCGTACATATTGGGCATCCATGCGTATGTCCTTCCTTTTGTGTGGAGTATCCATGGACAAAGGTATCCACCGTGGGACTGTAGTACAGGTGGATAACTAGTTACCTCACATGAATAGTTGGTCTATACAATGGAAGGATTGGTAGATTCAGTGTGGAAATGGAAGTGTTGATTCCCCTTGGTTTAGTAGGGGTTGTGAGTTAATAGTCAATGAGGATATTAAAATCTCTCAAGAGGGGGTGAGTGTAGTGCATATGATCATGGGATGAAATTTAGATATATTGTCATCGTGAATCTTTAAAACTTTGGGGGATAAAAATAGCTATTAAGGGCTCTTTCATTAAGCAATTACTCTTTTTTCAGTTGACTTAAGGAGAGAGAAATAAGGTGCATTACACATGGCTATGATGTCCATTATTAGGTGTGTGATAAAGTTAGTCACATATATCGGTGTTATTGACATTTTTTGGATTAGCATCCTCTATTTTCTAGATGGAGATTTTGGCATCAATAATGTCCTATTGGTACTATTGCAATGGAAAGTCTGAACACTGAGATGCTTCTGAGAAATACGAGTAATGGAAGTCCTTGCATAAATAAGTCAGTGACCTTTTCATCTTTCTTTCGGGAGTATTATCAAGAGGTTCACTCGGCACCAATTCATCCAGTATTTACTTTCCAAACTCATTTTTATTAGTTGATATAGGTTTAACCTTATCCTCTATTGCTTAGTCTGTTGCCACATGTTACCATCTATATATACATTGTGCGATAGAGCCAATTTTCATTCTTTATGGCAATAACCATACACATGCATAGTTGTGCATATGGGTGATCTTGAGTTTGAGTTAGTCATTGAGAATGATGCTAAATCAAGCTTTAACATCATCTTTGGTATAAATTAATTGCAATATAGTCATGATAAGTGTGACTTTGAGGCTTCTTCCCCTTATATCATACTTACTTATATTTCATCCATTCCTCTCACTTCTATTCTTCTTGGTTCCTTTATTTTTACCTCTGTTTCCATCACTTTTATCTTCCTATTACTTTTTCATATGTTTCCATTTTGTTCTTCTGTTCCTTCTTTAAATCCCTCTAATAGTTAGTTTTTATATTGTAGTGGTTGACTGTCTTATGAAGGAGTATGTCAATTTCTTCAAATTTGACCTGTCATCTGGAGCTAAAATTGCAACACATCATCTTAATCTAATTGAGGATACTCATTCAATCAAAATTTCTATTCATTGTCAGTTACCAAAAGAGATCAAGAGTTTATGTATAAACATTAACAAGATGTTGGAAAAGGGTGTTATCCGAAAGTTATAAAACCCTTGGGCATGTGAGCTTCATCTTGTGATGAAGCTTGATAGAAGTATTTATTTATACATGATTATTATCCATTAAATAAAGTGACTATCCCAGGTGTATACCCTCTTATTCACATTTCTGATTTCCTGGATTATTTGGGGAGAAGTTATTAAAGTAAGATCTTGCTTTTACGTACTGGCAAGTGCTAATAATTGAAGAGGATATGCCTAAAACTATTTTTAATACACTATAAGCTAGGGTTTTTGGGCTAATTGATATGCACATTTTCTATATTCCCTTTCCATATTCCAAGCACTCACAAACATGTTTATAAATTATAAATACAAGCTTAATCTAAATGAATAACAAGTGTTAGATGGTAGAATATCCTAGAATATCTAAGTATATTTTAAGTATATCCACTACTCACAAGTTTGCTTAAGCAAACCAATAAATATTAGCTAATAAAAAGAATACTTCATGCAAATTTGGATAATGTAGTAAATGTTTAACATGAGATTTAGCAGATACTTTTCTGTTTTTAGTGTTTTCGATGATGAAGCCTAAGTGCTTTTTGTTGAATGGGACTTTGAAAGATCTCCCAGTCGAGCACGAAGTAGTTGTTGCATATTTGCCTGCCCATCTCCACAACTTTGAGATGCTCGGGATGCTAAAGTGCTCTAGAGATCAGTAAATATGTCCCTTCAATACAAAGCTTGATAGCTTTATGAGCAATGCAGTTCAGCTCCTCTGCCATGAGAACTTGGACCAGCACCAGCAAATGGAAACCTCCAGGAGGAGTCCCATGGTCGTAGCTAGTGCCTCGGACGAGTCTATGTCAGAGACTCAGCTCTAAATTGTTGCTCGACACCGTGAACACCTGCGGGACCGACTGCTCATACAAGACCTTCATCAGCAGGCACAGCCCCACAGTCACGGCAAACATGACTCCAAAGTAAATCACCAGAGGCTTCGCCACCTTTGCCTCCAGATTCCCCAAGCACGGGTGGTGCGCCTGGAGAAAGAATATGATGAAGATGGTGTAGCACAAACCCAGCAGCATGAAGGATCTAACACCTCTGGAGCACAAAAGTTCTTGCATGATCATCCCTACCACCAGTGGAACAAAAGCATGCTCTTGGCGACTTCCAACGTTAATCCCCGTGTCCCTGAGGAAGAAGAGCGGGAGTGTTCTTTAGAGGAGGATCTGGAGCAGTTGAAAGCACGAGGATGGATCACCCTTTGCGAGAATGTTCCAAACCAGAACCATGGCTGTGCAGCGAGGTATGATTTCTGTATCCTGGCAAGTTTGGCGCCCATGCCAGGCCTGTCATATCAGCCAATTGAGGAGGAAACTCAGCGCCAGGCTCTTGAGCAGAGCGCCACCCACGAGCATCTTTCCTAAGAGCTTGTAGTGGACCCTGCACAGGACTGGATCATCACCCATATGTGTTTGTTATGCTACCTACAGGTTTGCTTAAGTAAATTGGCCAACAGCGATTGGGAGTGAGACAGAGGTGATGTTTGCGACTTGGAATGCCTCTCTCACTCTGTAGTATCCGAGCAGAACAACCGAGACCATCACTGTTAGGCGCCAACTTTGACCACGTGGTCAACGTCAGTCAAAGGGAGGCTCAAGGATATATTAAGGCATGTTAAGGTGAGGGACTTAACTTACCCTAGGGCTCACAGTGGAGTGGCGGCGTAGTGGAGCTTTTGAGGTAGTTCAGGGGTGGTTGGGTGGTGAGGAACCTCAAGAGGTGGTATAGCATAGTTTAGGGTGACCAGATCTTTGTCTTTTTTGCACCGGATCATAACATTGGTATCAGAGTTCTTGGCTACTAGGGGAATTCCAAATGCAGAGGCTTTAGTGGCTATTCTAATGGTTTTGCGTGATGAAGGTCTTTGATGGTGGAATTGGCTTGAGGAGTCTCGTGTTGCGGATAAGAAACCATCAGTGTCTACCATGGATGAGTTTGAGGCTGCTTTTCGTTTATGTTTTGCCCCTCATTACGATATGGAGAATGCTCATACAGAACTTCAACATTTCTAGCAAGGGAAAATGACACTTGGGGACTATATTGAGAAGCTTACTCACTTGATTAGTCGTGTTCCAATGAAGGATCCAGATCAGAACAAATCCTACTTCATTGATGGCCTATATAGTGAGAGTATGTGGCAACACTTATGTCATTCTCAGCCTACAAAAAGTTTGGAGGAGCTCTTTGATGCGGCTCGTCGACTTGACAATGACAAGCACAAGTCTTGCAAGCGTTCGCGGAGTCCTTCTATCAAGA